TGTCATTTTAGGGGCAAGGCCTTTGGTGTCTCACATTTTTAGGGCACAAAGGCCATTGAGGGAAACATTTGGATTTGGAGCTTACAAATAAATAACTTCACTTTCTGATAAGTTCAACACATGAATGACATGGAAAACAAATCAGTTTTTTTAATATCAATAATGTCAAACATTATAATCATATAGGCCTATGAAATACTCTACTTTGAATAATTAGTGTTGTTTTCTATCTTCTACTTCTCTCATTCACAAATCTGAAATCAGATCAAAAAAATCAAAAAATGCTATTAATATGTAACAAATATATTCCATTTCAGAGCAGAAGAAACAGCCTTCAAGGGTCAAACTCTGCACATACATCATTCAGCAGTGCACAGTGAAGCTCTAACATTCAACGGTATGAACAAGCAATACTTTGAAATGCAAAAGTCCGTGTGTGTGTGTGTGCGTGTGTGTGTGTGTGTGTGTGTGTGTGTGTGTGTGTGTGTGTGTGTGTGTGTGTGTGTGTGTGTGTGTGTGTGTGTGTGTGTGTGTGTGTTTTCGAGCAGGGTCGCCCCTGGCCAAGTTGGGGCCCCAAGCGACATTGTGAGATGAGGCCCTACCCCCTCAACCGACAGGAGTGAAAACTTGTTTTTCTGAAAAAAAGTAGGCTACTTTGCAAATATAATTCCTGTTTAATATTATTATCAACACAGTTACTTGTTTATACAGTGAGGTAAATGTGCATGTATGTCGTTCAGTATGCGTTTACAGGTGAATATCAGAATCAGAATCAAAATACTTTTATTAGTCCCACAGAGGGGAAATTTGCAGCGTTACAGCAGGAAAGAGCCACAGACAGCTTAGTGTTGCATATCTTAAATGCGTTAAAAAAGTACTAAATTATAATATAATAAACAATAAACAATATGCTAAAAAAAGATAAAAACTAAAAAAGTTACATAATTTTCAAAAATACAGATCAAATCTACAAATCAAATCCTGTAGCAGTTCTTAGGATTTAGCAGCCCGGTATATATTACAGTTATTAAATATGGCATATGTATATAAAGTATATATTGCACATAAAGCACATATTGCACATAGTTTGACGGTATTTAACAGCAGCAAGTTACACAATCTACAAAATAAAAGATACATACCTTGTAACAGTAACAAGGGTTTAGCAGCCAGGTATAAATTACACAGTTATTAATGGCATATATATACATTGCACATATAGCACATATTGCACAAAGTTGGTTTGTATTTATCAGCAAGGGGTGTTATAGTCTGTGTTGTGGTGTGTGTAGGAGGGTCTACTAGGGGCAGTGCTGGTTGTAAAGTCTGACCGCTGCAGGAAGGAAGGACCTGCGGTATCTCTCCGTGTGACAGGTGGGGAGAGTATGTCACTTTATTTATATTCTTTCTGGAGCAGAACACCTTGGGAAAAAATGTGAAATGNAAGTAAACACATTTAGTCAAATAAAGTGACAGACTAGGCCTGTGCAGTTGGTATCAGCTTTGCCCAGCATGGGCTCCTCCATCAGGCCTGGACCTCCTCACAGAGGAAAGACCCTCAGTCCTCTCCAAACCAACAGACAGGATGTCCATCACACGGAGGTTTCTCCCTGAAGTCTCTGCAGCTTTCTGGACACCACGCTGTCTCAATCCGTCCACACTGAATATGAAAGGGGGAAAATGAAAATAACAAATGCTTTAGACAATAAGAAACATAAAGTTGACTGTTGAGTTGCTCAATTTTTTTAGATTGTCAATACTATTACTGTATAACTAATATATCAGGTTAAGAGGCACATTCAAATAAAGATTGGTCTTTAAATACATGTTGTCTTTTGTAATTGTTTGTCTAAAGTCAAGGATCTAGAACTGGTACTTAGTTTTAATGATACAGTCTGGTTATTATGCTGTAAGAGCATTAACTAGCTACCATCACATGTACCTTAGCTTGACTTAAATGTATTAAACGTATAATTAAGTGATATCAAAATATAAATAACTAATGTCATGCAAACATATTAATATTTGCTTGATTCCAGTGTTGAATTTAGCACAATTGCATACAAACGTTAAGGGATTTTAAGATTCTGAAGTATTATGCTAAAAACTCAATAACTTTATAGTTATATTTATAGTTTTGCAGAATAGTTTCATGTCCGCTTACCTTAGAAACGTAAAATGCCACGGCAGTGTGCAGATGGGGAGCATGTTAGCTTAGCTTGGTAGCTTCAGCTAGCTCTGCAACTTTCAGCTCGGTGGCAGCAGGTCCCGCCTCGGCTCCGCCTCTTTGCCCTTATTTGGAGCAGGCTGGAGAAGGCGGGAGTTGAACTCTGACGTCACTGTCGAGCCGTTCGTGGCCGACTCCGCCTACGCCTATGGGTGACGTCACGGACCCTACTTCCATTTATATACAGTCTATGCATGGGACCTTAAGATTATTATGGTTTGAATATTTGGTAAAGGCTTTAGATTAAACTAATTTAATTATTTATTTTTTATGAATTGGACTTGGATTTAAAACATATTAATTTAGATAATTAGTTACTTTAAGTCTCTCTTTTCCGTCAGTAAATATGTGCTGTGTGGCAAGATATGACCTGTCTACAGTAAATGTCTATATATGGCAGGACAATGGGACATAGAGGGGAATGATCAGGCGGGGAAGAGGTATAGTCTTTTGACCGCAAACATTTTGTTATATTTGATTAAACGGAGAACTACTTTTGTTGCTTTTGAATCGAGGACGTTTATGTTGATCTTTATATGCTGCCTGGATCGCTTGATAAATATTGGATGCAACGCTATACAAAGCTCTCTGCATTTGATTGGCAACAAATTGAAGTCAGAACCCACAACCCTGACAAAGCAAAGTGGTATTTTATTTTAGAAACGTTGGTTATATATATATATATATTATATATTTATATAGTTACAACCGGCCCTTTGAGTGCAACCTTTATGCGAATGTGGCCCGCGATGAAATTGAGTTTAACACTCCTGGTTTAAGGCGTCTAGTGGCCTGATAGAACCGCAGGAGGCTGGTACGAGAGGGTCACAGATGTAGTTACCGGAGCAGGGGGGCCTCCAGTGGGCCCTTTGCTGGGGCCCTGCTGTCTTCAGGCCAGGGATCCAGGCTCCCCCCCCCAGGCTGCTGCTCCTCGGCTCTGCTCTGGACAGCAGGCTGTCTGCTGTGAGGCTCTGGCTCTTCTTCCTCAGGGGCCCACTGGGTGCTAACCCCCCTGTCCCATCCCCCAGGTCTCCTTCCAGCATGTCATCGTACAGGCTGCAGGCCCCGCTGACCTCCTGCATCTGGACCAGAGGTGGAAAGTAACAGAGGAAATGTACTCAACTACAGTACTTAAGTATTTTTATTTGAGTATTTACATTGTTTGCTACTTTTTACTTCTACTCCACTACAATTCAGAGACAAATCGTGTACTTTTATTCCACTAGATGTATTGAAGTAGTATAAAATAGGGAGAAGTACTCAGATCTTGTACTTGAGAAAAAGTAGAAGTACCAGAGTGTAGGAATACTCTGTTACAAGTAAAAGTCCTGCATTCAAAATGTTCAAGTACTTGTAATATGTAATGACAATAAAGTTGAATCTGAATCTGATCTAAAAGAAGAAAAGTATTATTAACATCAAAATAAAGTTAAAGTACCAAAAGTAAAAGTAGTCATTGTGCAGATTGGTCCATTTCAGAATAATATATGATATGTTTTATAATGATTGATCATTAAAAAGTGTTCTCAAAGCTGGTAAAGGTGCAGCTAGTTTGAATGAGTTTGTATACTGCAGGGTAGCTTGTGAATTTACTCCAGGTGGAACTAAAGACTGATTCAACACTTGATTATGTTTCACATCATTAATCGAATCTGCAAAGTAACTAAAGGTATTAAATACATGTTGTGGAGTAAAAGTACAACATTTGTCACTGCGTGCTTTGTAGTGGGCTTGAAGAGTACAAAGTCGCAAAATATATTAGTACTCAAGTAAAGTACAAATACTTAAATGTGTACTTAAGTACAGTACTTGAGTAAATGTACTTAGTTACTTTACACCACTGCCGACCTTTGCCCTTTACCGGTGTGTTCGTACCTGAACTGTGCCACCATAATGACAGAAATGTCTCTGAATGATGATGATCGTTAGGATGGTTACTTCCTCTTACCTGCAGCTCTGAAGCAGTGAGCGTTATATTCCTGTTGGCGCTTCCCAGCAGACTCGGATAAAACCCAGTTAGTGAAGTTTGATCCCAGAGTTACCTCCGAAGAGACAGCTATAACAAGTTTAGAATATTTGTATAGATAACTCGGCGGAGTCGCTTCCTTTCTGCACCTGAAAACGCAACCTGCCCCAGCGTTAACCAAGCTATCCGAGACCAACACAAACTACTTCCGGTCCTGACATGAAATAAACTCAATATTTTTTTCATTTAAAAAAGCACGATGCATCCTCACATAACTGAAGTAATTAACAACGTACCGTCAAATAAGTAGAACAATTCACAACCTTATTACAATTATGACAGGAAAACAGAACAATTTTAAATTCTAAAAATGTAGTTATGTATTAGATTAATAAGATATGCATTAATAGCCCTCGTAGATTTAAAAAAGGTATCACAGAAGGAATTATTTCTTAAGTTTTCCTCAAGTTAAATATAGTTTAGTGAGTCACCAAGAACAGAGGGACTATTTAAAGGAGCTTCCTGAAACTGTTGTAAAGTAAATATTGGATAAAGGGGTGTGTGCGAGTAAAAGCAAGATAATGTGCAATTAAAGAGCCCAATGATCAGTTTCACACATTATTTTTATTCACATTCATCTTAAGAAATAAACTATTTGTCCATCAAAAAGGCATTTACTGTAATTTCCCATCCGCCCATGGAAGACGGTGAATGTAAAAGATGTCAGTTTAATGCTTGTTCACAGACGGTTCTCCATTACAGGTTCATCCAAGGTTCAACAGTCACTCAGCAAAGCAAAGAGATGTGAAGTAAAAAACAACAAGTGCTGAACATACACTTCACACAATAAATACTGACAATATTTTAACTGGCACAACTGAACTGTTAAGGGCCACTTAGGAGAAATGAATCCCCATGCTTTCATATTATCATGAGCCTGTTTTTTCAGCTTAAGAATCACAGCTTCCATTAGACAAAACAATCTTACCTTATACAGGTGACACCTCAATGAGGCAAAAACACCGGTGATACCAGAGCTAGTATCACAGTCATCAACACACTATGGAGTACAGGTTCAGGTATGAATACAAATCTAAATTCTCAAAGGTCTGAATTCTGAGGGGAAAGTGAAAGTATACCAGCTTTTAAATAGTAACATTGTTTTTCCTTTGTCAATCTCAGACCTGGTCTTGTTTTTTTCACGTGTCGCTGATCCTCCTCCATACCAAGCCAAAACTCATTCATAAGAACATCCAGTGAAATAGTGAATGTGTCACAGTATGACAGTGGATGTGTTAGTCACTGTTGTAGTCCTCTATGAGCAGCTCCTCCTCCTCTAGAAGTTCTTGGCTTGTTGTAGGCTGGGGCTGACTTTCAGGTAATCCCTCCTCAACCCCAGCCTGACCTTCCTCTTCCTTTTTCTGCTCCTCTTCCTCCTCACTGTCTCTCTCCGGCTGGGCTGGCTCTTTGTCTGTCAGAGCCTCCAGCTTTAATCTGCAAACACACAACACAAACATCAGGTCAACACAGTTTACACAACTGCAATGTACAAATATCTATTTAAATTGAAGAACAGATGTTTCTTATAAGGACACCTGCACATCATTCTAAATCACGCTTAAGGAATTTATGTTAAATCACACGTATCCATAGTAACAATCAATGTTTGGGATTTTAACCAAAGGAATACAATTAAGTCAGTTAATTGCCATTTTACGTTTTCTTACTATACGATACAGTATTTCTTACCATTATAGTATTACTATTTCGGCGATTAGATAAAATATAAATTACATTTGATGCAACTTTAGTTAGTTACATTTCCATGACTTTTCCAAAACTTTGGGAAAAATATTGTTTTCCATAACTTTTCCAGGGCCTGGAATTAGCATTTTGAATTTTGAACATTATGATGGAACTAGTTCTCATGCTTTCAATAATGGTTATTAAGTGCTTCTAGTAAACGGCAAACATGATAGGCTCCTGTCTCCAGTCTCTTTCTTGAGATACCCAGAAATGATCAAACACTTTGTAAATTGTGAGATACAGCACTTGCATATATCTATTGAGTGGTGCATGGATGGTGTAGCCACTTCTAGGCAGCCGCTGTTTTTATGACAATTAAAAGCTTTTGACAGAAACCATGCAGTGTTGTATTTACTGACATATTTGAAGAAAAATGTGGAAATCTCTTAAAATGTATGTTAATCACAGACCCTATGTCAGGCTTCTAACCAAAAACACATTTGAAAAACTGTTGACTTTGAGAAAAGGGTAGTGGGAGTGGTAAAATGCTAACTCATTTCCAGGTTTTAGAACTCATTCCTGCACCTGCATAAATAGAGCAATGTGTTATGCTACCTTATATTTGATGTTCAGATTTGTTTAACTCATTATCACTTTTTACTGACAATGAGGAACTTCAGCTAAATACATCTCACATAATAATCCAAAAACACCTTCAGTCTGAACCTTAAAGAGAAAAATATAAACATAGAAATAAAAAAGGTACAATTTGAAATGAGATGCATTTGCTTAAGAATGATTGGGAGTCCCTTGTGAGTGCACCTTTAACAACATTACACTTGCATCAAACCTGTTGTTCTTACAGTGTACCAAATAATGTATTCACTAAAACACATGTAATTGGTAAAATAATCATATTACTTTTAGTTTAATATAATGTGACTGATAATTACTACTGTTATAAGGCAACTTCAAGTAAAAACACTGAGTTAGAAAGTAAGACTTTAGGTCATGGGGACTCACAGACTTGAATCTAAGTGCATTATGGGGAAATGTGAAATTGTGTGCTATACCTGCCGGGGAGCCTCCTCAGCGACATGTGACCCACATCCTGGATAAAAGCTATCTGAGCTGGAACACAGTGAAGCGCGTCTGTTAATAAAGTCCAACACACACACACATCCAAATGCGTTCACAGACTCTCACCGCAAAATAAATCCTAACTTTGTTCAGTCAAAAATACAATTCTTCAGCCAGCACAATGACAAAACAAAAATCAATGAAACACTAGGAAATTCCACCTAAAATAACAGTACCACCATCATTTGTAGGCGTTTTAAGCATTTTTACTGCACATTCCGACTTATGTCTATATATTATTTCAATTGTATTTTGATCTTTAATTTACTTTATTCTAAACTGTCATGAACCCAACTTCCCCGGGGCTAAATAAAGCACTCTGACAGTGATTCAAAGTGTGAGATTTGACTCGTTTAAAAAACACATATACAGGACAAATACATAATATAAAAGAAGAAAAAACAACCATGCTTGTATCAGGGCAGCGGGTAACACATTTGATACTTAAAGGAGACCTATCATGCTATATTTGAATAATATATTGTAGGGCCATACCTATATAAAAAGGTATATTTATACGTTTTCTTTTTCAAAATATCAAACAGATCATGCATTTTAGCCATTCCTCATTTCGCTCTATTTTCCTCTCCTCCACCCTGTCTTTGCATGCACTGCAGCTGACCACGCCCCCCTGCAAAGGAGAGGGCCGAGCTACGAGCATGTTACCATGCTGTTACCATGCCACGGCAGCCTTTTTTTTTTTTTTCTCTTCCCTGATTGGTAGAGTAGTTGGGCCTATAGCGGGCTCCTCGTTCCTGACGTCAGGCATTTCAAATCTGTTCGATCGTTCCAGCCCCTGTTTTTAGAGTTTGGTATGGAGGAAAAAGGAGGAGGTTAGTGTTTTCTGACACGTGGTGAGTTCCCTGCACACCGGGGAACATATTCATGTCTAAAGACGTTGAAGGCATTTTGCATGTAGGTCCCCTTTAAGGCCCGGGCCAATGGTGCAACGTTTCCGATTCAACCATGTGGTTACTACGCTATTACATCGCGTCAGTGGAGTGTGGTGTGAGTTGGGTGAGTGTGGTGTGTGTGTGTGTGTGTTACCTTGGTTCCTCAGGGGTTGTGATGAGTTTGGCAGGTGAGGGCAGCAGCTCAGGTCTGCAGCTGGACGGTGTGGCGAAGTCCCTGACAGAAGACTGGAGCGCAAAAAAGCCATTCTCTCGGTGCTGACAGGGCAACCATCGGTGTCATTCATGAATACTTATTCATCGGCACCGATTATATTCATTACTGTTGGCTGGCGCTTTTAATCCAAGCACTCCAATAAGTGGCACATCATTAAAGATTTTAAACTCTGAACGGCAAGAAGTGCAGATCTTTCCTCCAGCAAGTCAGACCAGTTGTGAAGTGTTGGTAAATTATTTACAGGCGCTATGAATTTAATTTAAATTAACATTTGTATTTATTTAATTGCCACTTCTAGTTGGAAACAGGATAGGTCTTCAGCTTTGTGACGGGAGATATGCAGAGTTTCTGCCTGTTCCTTGATGTCAATGGGGAGCTTATTCCAAATATGGGTTCCAGGATTAGCAAACAGCCGTGTTTTGAGGCGGTCCCACTCACAGGTGATGGGGTAGGCAAGCCGATTGGTGACGCAAGGCGATATGTTCTTAGTTGATAGTATTCATGGTCAAATGTATAATCTGAAGGATGGTTCTATGACATGTTTTACCCTATATAACAAGGACTTTGACAGTTTTTGAATCTGTGGATTATGTTTTGTTTACCGTGAATGCCTATCCAGTTCCCAACTTATGGCAAACCTGCGGTTGAGGGCACACGTCCAGACTGAAGAGCTTTAGGAGGAGAGTGAAGTGATAATGTATTGTACTCATGCATATTAAAGTGATGGAACGGTACACCTTTAGTCTCAGCCGGCCGGCAACTACTTGTACTTTGTAGTAAGGTTCAGGTGACATCTTAGTTAACAACCCATGCAAGACGAGTCATACCAAATGTAGAGTGTGTGTCCATTACATATCTGTCTACCAGACCATAGCAAATGAGGCTAGTTTGTCAGTTACCCTCTTATGCGTTTAATTTAAAACGAGCCATAGGTCTTTGTGCGACAACCCAAGTTTATAACCAGTCTGTAACTTAACTTAGCCACACTCAGAGCCAATGACAGAGCACGATGTGTGTGTCTTGCTTTTTGTTGGACCAGTAGCCGTTGGCTGTGAAGCGGTCTGAGCCGACAGAAAACCTGCTGCGGTTTGGAGTGCAGAGCCCCTTGTGGCCACTGAAGACCCATAATACTCCATGGTGCTGCGACTCTGAAAACATCATTACACAACCTTTTGGTACAGATTGTTATGATCAACAGTGGTGTAAAGTAAGTACACTTACTTAGGTACTGTACTCAAGTACAATTTTGACAGACTTGTACTGGACTTGTACTGGACATGTTCAATGTTTTGCTACTTAGTACTTCTACACTACAATTCAGTTAAATGGTGTACTTCTACTCCACTACATGTATTTAATAGCTTTAGTTACTTTACAGATCTGGATGAATGATGTGAAATCTAATCAAGTGTTAAATCAGACTTTAGTTCCACCTGGAGTAAATCCACAAGCTACCCTGCAGTATACAAAGTCATTCAAACTAGCTGCACCTTTACCAGCTTTGAGAACACTTTAATGATCTATCATTATAAAACATGTCATATATTATTCTGAAATGGACCAATCTGCACAATGACTACTTTTACTTATTTAGATGCTAATACTTTTGTACTTTTACTTGAGTAACCTTTTAAATGCAGGACTTGTACTTGTAACAGAGTATTCCTATTTCTTACACACTAGTAGTTATACTTTGACTTAAGTACAAAATCTGAGTACTCCTCCCACCTCTGATGATCAAAGTATTCATATAACTTTTTAAATGTCTAGGAAAGACTGACCGTCCAATCAGAATTGAGGAGGTCAGCATCAGACAGATACTCGCTGGCTCGGTCCACATCCTCCACCTCGGAGAAGAAGTCCAGGTAGTTCTGGTGGAGGTACAGGCTGAAGAACTCCCCGGACATGTGTGAGCGCTCAACAACAAACTGAACGAAGAGATAAAGACAGAAGTGTTATTAGTGTTTGAGCATGCCGTTTGTTATCTGTGAAAGCTACTAAACAAACGTGTGTGCACCTCAGGGTCTACGAGTAACGCTTCTCTGTGATGATGAGACAGGTGAGAGGGTAGAGGGGGTCCAGGGGGACTCTCAACCACTTCAACATCTTCCTGTTTCCCTCCTGGTGATGACAAACACACAAACTATTTGACAACACTGACAGAAGCTATTTGAATCATCATAAACTGCATCTATGCTACCTGGGGTCCTTATAAACAAAATGTCCCCCTTTTTAAATGGTCATTAAGTCTTTATTATTTAATTATTTTTATATTGTTTTATTTAATGTATAGGTTTTTATTCATATAATTTATCTTAGAGTTTTATTAGGGACATTTATTATAAGGTTTTGATAATTATTTTTATTTTATAGGTTTTTATATTTTGTTGCATTGATTCATTTTTGTCTTTGTTTTTTTCCGAGGGATCATTATTTATTTTGTTTTTATTATCATAGCTTTGACCTCCTTGTGTCTCTTAAACTGTTCTATGATGTTGCTGCATGTTAAAGGTCTTAGCGTCTGATCTGAGGGGAATTTCTTCTTCTCTGTTTTCCTTTGTAATGTGTGCCATGCTGTTAAAGCACTTTGAGCTGCACCTGCTGTATGAAAAGTGCTACATTTATTTATATAAGCAGGATTTCAGATTCATTCTGATTCATGAAGAAATAATAATAATAATTATTATTATAACTACAGCTTTATTTAGCTGGCTCACTGATTTGTGTTTCTAAAAACAGAGGAGAAGATGGTTCAGGCTGTTACACACACTCCTGGTTAGGAGACACTTGTATGGAAACAGGGAGATATGACCCACGTTTGCAGTGCAGGATCTTCCCCAGAGCTCTGAACAGGAACAGAGAAGTATCTTTCCCTCCAATAGCCTGCTCCTCTTCCTGATCCCTTTTCTGTTTAGACCTCTTCTTTCTCTGGTTTGTTCTGGAAACAGCTTTGCCCAGTGATGTCCCCTGTCGGTCCTTCCTCAACAGCCCCTTTTCCAATGACGTGTCTGGAAGGTTACAGCAATGACAGAACCTATACATGTCAGTTGATTAGACAACCACGATGTTGAGTGCACGTATACACTCCCGACCCCCCCCCCCTCCGGTGTGGTGCGTGTATTATCCGCTGACCTGGGAGCGAGGAAAACTGGAGGCTGTTGATGGCACTGCGAACATCTCCTGAGCTACCTGAACACAGCTTCTCCAACACTGCCTGGTCAGGGACGCACATCCTTTCCCCGCTCTGCTTAGGACAATGGGAAAGTACAGTGTTAGAAAACCTAAAAACTCGTACCAATATGATTCATATACTGCAAGGCTTCCTTTCACCTTGCCTGCCTCCAGGGTGGAAATCCGAGAGAGGACCTTCATCATTGTGGTTGGAGCCACCGGATTAAAACTGGAAACAGAGAGCACACAAAATAATGTTCAGAGGAATCCTTTAGATCAGCGCTTTTCAAAGTGTGAGGCGCGCCTCCCCAGGGGGGCACCAGAGAGCTTCAGGGGAGGCGCAGCGTGAGAAGAAAATTACGAGAAACAGTCAAATCTCGCTAGTTAAGCTAACGAGCGGCAACATGGATCCATTTTTTGTGAAGTTACCTAAAGTGAGAGAGGAGACAGCGACTGGCAGAAAACGGAGGAAGTATGACCACGATTATTTGAAGCTAGGATTTTCATGGACCGATCCTGGCAAGGGCAGACTGGCCATCTGCGTATTCTGGAGAATCACAGAACGGCCGCTCGTCAGCGGGCCGTTGACGGCCGGCACCGCCCTTTATTTTAATTTTAATAATACTTACTTTGATCAAAAGTAAGAACTGGTCAAGGCTGCAGCCAGAGGATGATCTGCGTATATTCCTGACTACATTGCATCCCCGCATCCTGCGCCTGTGCGCTTCAAAGACGCAGACTCATTGTTCCCACTAAAGTAGGGCTGAGTGTAATGAGGAGGCAAAGTTGACGTTCAGTGTGTTGCCGGGAGCATATAAGGATTTATCCACGATCCTGAAAATGTTGAAAATGTTAAAAATGTTTAAAACATAAAGATAAAAAGGTTTGAAAAAGTTATTGTTTAATGTTTTAAGGAGGTGACGCTACTCAGCCAATCAAATCGGTGCAGTCAGTGAGTCAGCACGATAGATTCAAACACGGAGACGAGACAAGAAGAGAGAAACAGTCGGAGTCATTTCAAATGGCGTGCTAAAAAAAGAGAAAGGTAGACAGCAACAACAGAGCATTTAATAACATTTTTTCTTACTCCAGTAAGAACTCTTTGAAATGCAATGAAATGAGTGAAAATTAACTTGTTAAATCAGCTGTGTCATTTTCACTCTACTGCTCAGTTTCAGTGGTTTTTATAAAAAGACTGTTTTATTTGGCCACTACTTAGTAGGTGTTATTACCTACAGTCAATTCAACTCTTGATTTTTCGCAGTCTGAAAAAAAAAGGCATGGGAGGGCTTTTGTCCCTGGAGTCACTGAGTTGCTTTTAAACAGAGGTATCCATGCAGGAAGAGCAGAGTTTCACTGTGATACAAATAACTGCAAAGCAGAAAGGACTGTTTATAATATCATTTATAATATATAAGTGACTGAAAATAGCATTTGAGAGTGAGGAGCAGAGGTCGCGTTAACCGAATATATTCTGTCTATGACGGAATTCTGTTGACAATGACGGAAAAATCTGAAAGCAGTCCGTCATTTTGACGGATTAGAACAAACTCATAACAGCGCAGCAGGGCTCCGGTGTTATCCCCTTATGTCGTTTCCAGACCCAACTATGCCGTACAAATCATTGAAATCTCTGGGAGTTTATGCTTTGCGCTGTGGCGCGCTCCCGCGAGGTGCAGTGGGCATGCACAACACGGCGAAACACCGGCGCTAATATTTCAAGAACCCCCCCGTTGACAGTTCACGAGCGTGCTCTTCCGCCCCCCCCCCNCCCCCGTCAGTTTTGTACAGACCGACGGGTAATAATGGATTTTGATGGAAATGTTACGATCCTGTCCGTCAAAATGACGGGCAGCGAAAAATTCTAGCGCAACCTCTGGTGAGGAGTACGTTTCTGTTGTCCTGATGGAACTAGGGTACACCTCAACAGGTGTCCAGTAAATCAGAAGGCTCATACAAAGACACAGACAGCCATTCACACGCAAAAGGCAATTCAGAGTCGCCAATTCACCAAACACATGTTTTTGGACTATTTTGCCAAAACAAGATTATTTGTTTTTATACGCTCATCCCCACCTCTACAACCGTCCCTCCTCAGTCCACAGCTGGGATTAAACTGTGTCTAACCTGATGCTGCTGATGTCCAGCTCCTCCTGGATCTCTTTGGGGAAAAGATGGCGAGAGCTGCTGTCTCCGCTCAGACTGTCTGACACTATGAACACCAGGGGACACCGACTGGTCTTCACAAAGCGCCTGAAAGAACCACAGCAGGACACAATCTCACAAAAAGAGCAGGGAACACAAGGTGACACAGATCATATAGCACATAGAACTACTACCAAACACAATTACTAATACTATGTTTGTAGACCGAGCCGGAAATTAGCATCACAAGGACAAAAAGCAATGACATTTTTCAATTGGATTATGGAATATTGCAGAAAATAAGATCTGTGGCAAATACACGTTTATGATACTTGCATGTTTTAATAGTTGTAGCTTAAATGCAAAAGCCATAAGTAAAAAGCTAACGTTATTAAAGGCTTTAATAAAGTTCTACACACACACACACACACACACACACACACACACACACACACACACACACACACACACACACACACACACACACACACACACACACACACACACAAAAACACACACACACACACACACACACACACTATTTAGGACATCTAACCGAAAACTGATATGAAAAACATCCACTTGTTGACTAATTTCCGGGTATGGGACTAATTTCAGCTCCACTCTTTAAATAGACACCTGATAGACTAATGTGTGTCCTTTAGGAAGTATTTTATAAAAAGGCACTCAATTCCTAATGCTGAGGAACAAATGTCTCCAAGGTGGCAAGAAAGGTTTCAAGCCCCATATAATTCCCATTTTACACTGAAATGAGGGCAATGAAAGCTGCAAAGTTAAACAGCAGTGCTGGAGTTTCTGTGTGAAAGAAGTGCACTGTTTAAACTCACCTGAGGATATCGTGCAGGCTGTCAGGCTGCCTGTAGAACTGGTTTGGGAAATCCTGAGGAGGGACATGTGAGTGTCAAGTGTTGTCTCAGGTGTGTGAAAAGAGATCTAAACAAAGCAGCTTTACAATAATCACTGAAATAGATAAAGGCTTCCATGAAAAAATTGAGAATATGCCGAGGAGGAAAATGAGGAAGAGCTCATTGATTACAATCTAGTTTGTAAATAAATTACTATTCGTCACAATTATTGACGAATGCTCCTGTGCCATTGGTTACAATGAGAGGGCCAGTGGATTGTGTCCCTTAATGTCTACCCCTGCAATGCATCTGGTATTATCAGATGGTACAATAAGAGGCAGAAGAGAGGTTAATACATGACAACAACAAAACATGAACAGAATATGAACAGTACAGCATTTGAACATATAACTGTCAGAGAGAACTTTAGTCTTTTTAAATACAGTGGAGCATGTCAATGGGTAAGACTTTGAAAACCCTAACCAGTTGCATAGTTGGAGCTAAATACTTTAGCTTCAGGGATCATAAAAACTGTGGCAGCGCTGGTACAAAATAATGAGTGTTTAAATATGTCATCACGTCCAACAGGCATATGGCATACAACATGAGAAGTGCATAACAAAGAAAGACAGTTATAGAGACTCAGTTAAGCAAAACGCATCACAGGTGCATTAAACAAAAGAAAGGGAACAATGTCTTCAGTGTAGTACAAACCTCCACCAGTATGAACTTCCTGTCTGTAGCTCTATCATCACCAACCATCTTCAGGCACTTGTACTTGTTTGCTCGGAGAAGGAAGTCCTGGAACTGGGTTAACTGGGAGGTGAAGGACAAACCATTCGTCCTCCATTCTGAATTTTTTTTTAGAAATAGACACATCAGAAAAAACCTTGGCAATTCACACAATTGAATAAAACACACAGCACATCGCTTTAAATGCCAAAAAAATGTATATATTCAACAGTTCAAATTATGCAATATATATTTTTTTTATTTTTTTCTTGGTGCGGTCCACTCTCAATCCTTAGCAATAATCCACAAAACATCTCAGTTTCAGTTCAACAAAAAAACATCTTCCTTAAATACCTAGTCCCCCCCCACACCACCTTAAATGAATACAGATAAAACCTCTCTGAGGTGAATGATAATGGCCTGTATTGTTAGTGTGACAGTGACAGTGGTAGGGCAGGGGGCTTCCTCCTCACCATGCTGACTGCTGCTGTATGGCTCCTCGTTGGAGGGGTTAGTCCACTCCTGAACCCTGAGGTCCAGCTCCAGAGATAGAACCTTGACTGTGGCAGTCTTCCCACAGCCCGAGGGTCCCGTCAGCAGCAACACACCACCCTGTAACAGACACAGGTGGGAAGTAGTGAAGTACAAATACGTTGTGCTGTACCTAAGAAGATGTTTCTTGTATCAGTACTTTACTCAACTATTTACTTTTCTGACAACGTTTCACTTTACTCCTTATATTTTTTTGAACGGACGGACAGACGGACGGACGGGTGGTGCTTGTGAATTAATTACAGTTTTCCGCACTCTTGCGGGAATATCTCCGCAATGGTGCGAGCTTAAGTTTCACTTTCGATTGCATGATATAGCCCAGCGCAACACCTTCGTCAAACATGTTGCCACCTGTTTGTACCATTTTCAGGCGATTTGTAATCTGTTCTAGAAAAACGATGTGTTTTTTAGGATATCAAGAAGCATATGAAACAAACAATGGATGTATTTTATGAACATGTATCCATGCTGAAAGTAGATTTAGATGTTTTCGGAGTGAGATACAGTAGAGATTACTATCTAATATATGCATCCGATGAAGCATTGCATGAAGTCTGTTGATGATCAGAGGCTGTTGTTGGGGCTGCATAAACGTTTTTTTATTTTTGTTTTGTAGGCAGACCATGCAGGCCTCAGAGAGTTAAACTTGGGCCTGCGACCATAGTTTTACTGTATTTTGTTTTGAAAATCTGAAAAATGTCTATGCAAACGTTATTATTAACAATAATTTAAAAAAAAAATCTTTTGTAAGGTCGCGACCCCCACTTTGGGAACCCCTGCTTTAAACAGTTGTAGTTTTGGCTACTTTTTACTAAAGTAATAACTGTTACATGTCTAATATGTGTAATGTAAAGCGATTTGTGCTCAAAGTGCTCTAATAAAAATGTAATTAATTATTATTATTATTTAAGTATATTTCAAAGCTCATGCTTCTTCACTTTTACTAGAGTGAAAAGGTTTAGTAAGTACTTTTACCAGAGTATTTTTAAACAAGAGTATCGGTACTTCTAGTTGAGTGAAGGATGTGTGTACTTTTGCCATCTCTGGTAACAGAGAGCAGCCAAGCTACACCTGCACTTTGACCTCCACAAACAGAATGTTCATGTGTTTAGGTTATTGTAGCTCAGACGAAAAGGTCAGCTCTTGACACTTCTTGGGGTGCGTCTCACATCTCTTATTTTTCATTTCCTCGCTCCTCGGTCTCTGTATCACCGGAAGTTGATTTGTCTGCGCCATCTTGAGTACCGTCCCAGTGGCCTTATTTTTGCCGGAGGATCGAGGAGCGATAACGGAGGAGCAATAATCGAGGAACTACCAGACCATCCTCCGGTAAAATCCTAAGACAGAGTTTTGAGTTTTTTTTTTTAAAGATGACAGAGTCTTGGACTTTCGTTATGACTGTGAAGGGATTTCTACAGGGAGGGGGAGGTCCCAGGTCCAGAGCTAAGTCTTAGCTTAGTCCTGCTGCAGTAGCTTAGCATCAGCAGCACATTAGAATTATCTTGTTTTGTTTGAAAGGAAGTAGAATATTTGGTAACTGAAATCATGAAACATTCAGTACCTTTGATGTGTTTGTGTGAACTTTTATCCAGCTCTCCACTTCCTCGATCTTCTTCTTGTGGACAGCCAGCTCAGCCTACACAAACAGACAGTTTAGAACAAACATTACAATTATTTAGCGGGCCTTATGGATTTAGATTTGAAATGTCTTCATTTGCCATATAGTTGGCCAAAAACATCTCAGTGTTGTAGCCACAAAAAAATGTGGCTGTTAACTGCCTTTACAGAAAATGTACTGTAGCAGAAATGTTTTAATATAATGATGAAGAATATAATCATATCAGCCACCTATCGTTTTTGTAAGATATTGAGCTAATACTGTATTGAAAGTGTAATAGTGAAAATAAATTGCCAATGTGTTTAGAACAGTTGAGGAATTCACAGCAACTGTATCCCAATGTATTCACTGAGATCAGAACAAATGTAAAGAGTGAGCATGCTGACCTGTGAACGGGGCGAGTGTCTGTCCACCCAGGAGTCATCCTGGTCCCAGGGGGCGGGCTCTCTCAGCAGGGGGGGGTTTGGGGGCTCTGAGCGGCGTGCCTCTCCTGCCCTCTTCCTGGGCTTCTTTACCTCAGCCTTGGAGCTCACAGCCTTTCTCCTTCTGGACACAGCAAAGCTTTCTCCTGGCAATTCAGCGAAGGACGGGTCCACCCAGCGGTTCAGCTAATAGAGAATACAGTCAAAGCCAAGACACTTCATCAGAATCAGAATTCCTCTATTTGTCCTGTAATGGGAACATTTACATTATTACAACTTCAGAAGTATCGTGCAGATAAAGTGAAGGGAATAAAGTTAAATATAGAACATTTATTAAATCATAAAATCTCAAATTGGTAGACCATGTTGAATAAAAGTTTTTTTTTTTTTTTTAAGTGACCATATAAATACAGAGAAAAAATGGTGTGAATTGCACCAGGGTATATTGTACATGTGTGTATTTTGCACACAGTTTAATATTAACAGGCAGTACATGGACATTGAAGGTGGATATCTAAAATAGATATACAATAGATCAACAGATCAATAGATTTATTTATTTAGCCTAACATCATTGATTCATAGACAGAAGTAGAAGCTAAATAACATTTCTCTGAAGGAGGGGGGGTTCTTTGTGTTCTCAGCGAAGAGCTGCTACATCTCCACTACAAGCCTAAAGGTACTCCGGTAAAAGTACCTTGTGATTCAATTGTTGCCATGAAAAAAATGGGACAATGATAGATTAAGAAAGATAAATAATAGTGAAAGATTAGTGGGAACAAATATGAAATGAAGTATGGTTAAAATCCTTTTAAAGCAACCCATTGTAGGTAAATCCTTCGATATTCTATAGATATGAGGTATACATACAGTATAGGCAGTGGTGGAATGTAATAAAGTATATTAACGCAAGTACAGTATTTTCAAATGATGCTACCTATTGCTTCACCTTGACTGCATTCTGGAATCCAATACCTTTACTCCACTACAATAATCTGACAGCTTTAGTTACTTCATAGATTAAAACATATAATAAAGTTAGCTCCACCTTCAACAACTGTGATAAAGACATTGATGCTACACATTAGTCAAGTCATATGATTCTGAAATGGGCCATATGCAAAAACGAGTACTCTTACTTTTGGTACTTGATTATACTAATAATTGCATCAAAATACTTAAACTTGAATACAATTTTGAATGAATGACATATACTTGTAAAAGAGTATTTTTACAATTTAGTATTGCGACTTTTACCAGAGTAAAAGTTCTGAGCACTACCTCCACCACTACATGTACATATATACTCATAGCCAGTGGTGTAAATCAACTAAGAACATTTACTCAAGTACTGTACTTAAAGAGCAACTTCCAGGTTAAAGACACCTGTGAATAAATGTGTAGGAAAATGATGAATACACTAGATTTTCAAAAAAATATACAGAAATATACACTACAGTGACATCTGGCGTCGTTTTCGTAAGAAATGTTCACTTCCGCATAAAAAAGCCTCGGCACGTGACCTCCCGCGTGTAACGTAACACGGGGGACACAAGGGGGAGAGCGGCCGGTGTAACGTATAAATAAACATGGATCCCAATGCTAGTTTCGACACAGAAGACACAGAAGAAGTTGAACATGAATATTCAAATGCATATGACGGACCACAACCTTATAATTATGAGCCTGCTAGGCGTCTAAGAGACCAGGAGCAGCCAAGGATTAGAAGAAATAACGGCCATCGGAGAGAAATTGAGCTGTGGTGTGAGGAGAACCAGTGGAGAACTGGGCAGCTGTCTTGGTGAGTGACCGGCGTTAGCATGTTAGTTAACGTCAGTCACATCACAACATTGTAAAGTTAGCTATCATATATCAGGCTATAACTAAAGTAGCATTGATAATATAGTAACGTTACTGGCAGGACTGTTGATACTGATCCATAACAGAAACTAATGCGCAAGTATCAGCCGTATCTCGCGTTACCTAATGCAACTCCACACTACGGTGCTGTGTACCGGAGGAGAGACGCGAGATACGGCTGATCCTTGACGATCTGGCGGAGAAAGGTTGTGGAGCCTCCGTTGATATGCCGTTGTAAATGGCTTGATGGAAAGCAGGTGTTGTAGTCGGGGAGGGTGCACAAGCTGATTGCAGCAGGCGTGGTGGAGGTCTGAAGCGGGAGCCAGGGAGTGACAGCCACCACGCAAACAAACAACACAGACAGGGGGAAACAAACAAACACAAAGGAGATGGCTGGAGCAGTACAGCCACCACAGCGTTACCTAATGCAACTCCACACTATGTCTTACGTTGCCGTATACCGGAGGGGAGAGAGAGAGAGCAGCGAAGGGGGGGGGAGATAAGTAATACGGATAAAGCTGTGGAGAGTATGTCTATGTGCTGCAGGGAGGTGGATGCACAACGCACCCAGGAACGAACGCTAGCTCCGGTCCTTTTTACTGTGGACTCGATGTCCTGACAGGCTGGTATTTGTGCAACCTGCACAAACACAATACTGCACCATGATTACAAATGGTGAAATACAATGTAAAACTACCGAAAAATACCAGCTCCTTAAAACACAACCGCTCTACTCAACGCAACTCTACTATACCCGCGGTCAGAGAGCGGAGATGTGTCCCCTGTGTGATGTAATATGACGCGTTTGACGTATGACCTTAAAAAAAAGCCGTTTTTAAGAGCAGAGCTCAAAATTGCTCCTTTCCCTCTGAATTCCTGCCCTTATGTTTTGTAAAACATCAAATCCTGCATTCACTTTTTTAATTGTAATTTTCAAGCAAGTTTAAGCATAAATGTA